AATCGGAATGGGCATCCACCAAACTCACAGCAGCCTGTTGTGACATGGACAACAACATCCCCTTTCCTAATTTCATTGACCTACGGTGCGTTCTCATATAAACCTCATGTATCGGGCCAGATGGTATTTTTCTCAAGAAGTTATTGGTTGATCATAGGATATTGCTACGTGGTATCCCAACAATGTTGTGATTGGTGGAAGAGGCACGTGGCAGTACCCAAGAGTGCCAAATAATTTTTCCCATCTCTTGACACTATGGCAGCTTGAGGATTGGTACATGCAAACTGAGACAACTAAATGTGTTGAAAAATAATTGACAGAGGTCTAAACTAGAAAGATAGACAATCTCTAAAAACTTTATAATAAATAATCTAAGAACTTTATTATTAATAATATGAATTTATTATACCTCCATTCCATTAAGAAAAATTTTAATTTTTCTCGTCTTTACCATCCGTATGTATATTATTAATTGAATGAATGAAAAACATAAGCTTGTAGAAAAATAATTCTAAATAAATTAGGAAACTTAAATCAATATAAACTAGGAAACTAAAGAGAATATGAAATTAAAAATCTAAACTATTTAAAATTTTATGCAAATTTAATTCTAAAATTATAAAAAATAAAAAGGGTCAATTATAAAAAAAAATCCAAAGTTTAACCCTTGAAATGAAATAAATTTTTAATTTTATCAATTTAAAACTTTTGATTTATTTTTAACTTAAATTATTTGTCTATTTTCGTTAACAAAACTTGATAAAAAAAATATATATATTTTAGTCATTGAATTGATATTTTAGACATTTTATGTATACCTACATTGAATTTAATGACTAAAATATTGTTTTTCAATCGGTTTTTACTTAATGAAAAAATGTGAATGGTTTAAATTAAAAATAAATCAAAATGTTAGCGTTTAAATTGACAAAATTAAAAACTCATGATTTATTTTGTTAAAAGAAACTTTAGAGTTTTTTATTATAATTATTTATAATTGTCCCAAATAAAAACATAAAAAAATATATAATTCTTTTTCTACATTAATTACTCAATAAAAAATAAAAATAATAATTAGATCAATTCAATAATCGTAACATTATAAAATGAATAATTTAAATTATCAGAACAAGACACATGATAAACACCACATGCATAAATAACAACCTCAAATTTAGATTATGGACTGGAGAATGTATAATGTATTGTAAGTTTATAAGTCAAAAAATACTTTCAGACATCTTTCAAATAATTAGTTATTTTTTATTTACTTAAACTATTTTTACCTAATAAATCACAATTTAAATCCCAAATCTACCGAAACCCAAAACTCAAATATATAAAAGATCGTTGGGCCATGCGGGCTCTCCGTAATAATTATGACCCATCCCTTTAGCCAACTTAGCTCTTAATACAGGATCAACCCAATTTTTTTTTTTTTTTTTTTGGGGAGGGGGAATATTACAAAAAAAAAAACTTTGGATTTGAGTCTTGTGATAAAATAAATCCTAAAATTTTAATTTTGTCAATTTAAACTCTAAACTTTTGATTTATTTTTAATCTAAACTATTTGTTTATTTTCATTAAATAAAATTGAAAAAAAAATATGTTGTAGTCATTAAATTTAATAAAAAAATATATGTTAAACCCGTATCTATATCGAGTTTAATAATTAAAATATTTTTTTTTCATCAATTTTACTTATTACAAATAGATGAATATTTTAAATTAAGAAAAAAATATATATATATTATAAACCCAAACCCAAACCCAAATATTAAAAAAATATATCTTTACTTTTTTAACATCTTTTCGTAAAAAATTAAAAAGTTATCTCAAACATACTAGTTTTTTTTTTTTTTTTTTTTACATCAAACTTTAGTCAAAAAACTAAAAAGATACTAAAAAAGCCTGTTCCCAAACGAGGCGGTCATTTTGATTTTGTTTTTTGTTTTGCAGAAGTAGAGAGTGGGTGCATGCAGACGTGCGTGCGTATGAAGAAATTGGGTCATACAAAGTTGTCACATTGGGGAAATCTCTGACTCTGCATTTATGTGCTTGACAGCTGATCATCTCCTAATTTAGATCTCAATTTCTAGGTACCCACTTGGCACTTGCTAATTTTTGTTGTTTATTTACAATTATTTTTTTGATTTATGATAATATTTTTTTAGTCTCAAGGTACCCAATTTCTTTGTGAGCATCTCCAATGCACTAGGCATATAATACTTGTTAGTTAAAATGCCTAGTGTGATTCACTTTTTTCAGAGCATCTCCAACGGTAATAGGCATTTTACCTATTTAAACATTACTATAAAGTATATATTTTAGTTTGCCTATCAACTATTTCATGTTTAAATGTATTCAATCATTAGGATCATTTCCCTCCATCTTTGTTGTTGACGTGGCATTCTATAAAATTAATAGTATTTGGATAAATAGCTAAAATAAAGAGCATGGTTGGAGTAAAAATATAAAACAGTTGATAGGCAAAATAAAATATATACTTTATAGTAATATTTAGATAGGTAAAATACCTACTACCGTTGGAGATGCTCTTATATTCCTAATATCTTAAAGATTCAAGATTAATTTTGTTATTTTGACTTTTTGGAGGGGGTGGAAAAGAAACCCAAACCCAAACCCGTCTTTGGGATCTGATTTGGCGGTGATCTGTTTTCACCACTGTGATCTGTTTTCCCTACCTCAACCATAGCGATTTGCTTCCCCAAAGCCCTCACCAGTGGCCATAGATTCTCGTCGCTGAGAAGCTCCGACAGCCGTAACAGCTTCCCTTTCTTTTAATCGTTTCTTCCTTTAACGATTTCGACTCCGACAGCCCAATCTACTCAGGTATGTATTATGCATCCTGTGTTTCTGTGTAAAAGTTTAATCTTTTATAAAAATCAAGGCCTTGTTTGGTTTGTGTTTCTCAAAAAATTTTGGGAAAAATTCTCTACAAATAAATTTTCAAAAGTAATCAAACCAAACAAATTTTCCCAAAATTTTTTTCCAAAACTTGTTTGGTTTACAAATTTTCCAAACAAATCTCTCTCATTTTTTTTTTAAAAGTTGTGGTTTGTGTAAAAGTTTAATCTTTTATAAAAATCAAGTCTTAATGATGTCTTCAACTTTAATTCGTTTCTTAGATGGCATCATCATCATCGTCTCGGCGGTCGATAGATATGGGGAGAAGGAACAGAGGAGGACCGGTTATCGTGAGATGTACAGAAAATCCACAGCCTCCTATATATGACAAATATTTCTGTTTATCCGCCGCTGAGTTTGATGATTCTTACAACATCAAAGAATGGTAAAAGATTTGTTCAAAACTTTCCGACTCCTGAACTTCGAGCAGCTCGTCTTGCTATCAATCATGATGAGCGGCATAGAGGAGAAAATCCAGCGACTCTACCTCTCATCGCTCAGTTGGAGAATGGTAAAGCCGACCGTGAATATGGTACCTGCTCAGCCATGGTAGGGTCTAGAATATATAGGTTCGGGGGGAGTTGCTCTGATGAAGACGGTGGTGGCTTTCACAAGTCTCGCCTTGTAATTTATTTTGATATTAATCATCCATAGAAGGGTTGGAAGAAAGGTCCTCGCACTATCTGTGGCCGAGAAGATGCTGCTGTGGTGGTGGTTGATGGGAAAATTTTTGTCTTCGGTGGCAACGAAAGTAACATTCCCGGTCTTTGTTGCGAATTTTTAAACGCCAATTTAGAAGAAGAAGAAGAAGGAGGAGGAGGAGGAGGCAACAGAAAAAGAAAAGGGACGCGTAAAGTGGAGTCCTTTGAAACATGATGATGTGCCAATATCTAAGTGAAACTTCTGACTATACCCATGCAATGAACATGACCCTAACACATCTTGCTGATGATGTGTTTTGCATTGTCTGGCTCGACAATGAGAGTCTTCTTCTTCATTGCACTGTAGTTCGAATTTCTACAACAATCGGTGTATCTGTCTTGTGCTGCCATTCTTATGGGTTCCATCAACCGACTTCCTTCCTAGATTGCCTGCCTATGGATCTCCCCCTATTGTAAGCGCGCATCTTGATTCCTGTTTTGTTTGTTTATTTGTTGTTTAGTTTGATATCTAATCCCAAATAATACCGTTAGTAATATCTGAATTTTCAATTATGTAATTGAACTCTTGTTTCCCTTCTCTCTCTTTTTTTTGAACAGTCTTGTCCCCCTTCTAGGGAATCATTTTTCTTATTACTTTTTTGATCTAAAATATGTTTTGAAGATTAATGAGTAGATAACAGTTTTTCCTTGTCTGGGTTTAGAAATTTTGATGATTTAAATTAAGATAGTAGTTTAATTTGTTCATCCTATACAGGAAATTGTTTTGTTATGCTAGTTTGTCATATAAATTGGACTCATTAACTAATTTAGATGTCTCGGTGTTTACATATTTTAAACACACAACCAAACACACATAACCAACAACTCATAACCAAACACACAACTTAAAATTCTATACAAAACTCAAAAAAAATTTAAAAAATTCGAATATTTTTTATTTAATATATAAAACATAACATGTGTCAATTCCAAAAAAAATATATATATATATATTTCACTGGCGGGGACGTCCTGTGGGACATCCGGGGGGTCGACCGGGGAGACATCCAGCTGACAGAGTTTTCAAAGCAAAGCGTGGAATTGATTTTTAAAAACCGTAAACAAACACGCAACTCAAAAACACACCTGAAATCACATTTCCAGAACACAACCAAACAGAGCCTTATATTTTTGTTTCAAGTTTTAGTCAGTGAATGAAAATATTCACTGTTATTGTAATATGGAGTTATGATTATTGGCTTCTGGATTTGTTGCAAGTATGTTGCTAATTGTTGATATATGTTGGGGAAGAATTTGCATCAGTTGATTTATACTGTTCCTTCTTTTCTTTTTTTTTTGGTTCAGGTATGTTTTGTATCTTTCAACTTTGTGTGATGATGCCATTCAAGGAAAAAAATCACTGCATGCTGCTGTAAATGCTATTTTCTCAGTTCCTATTTCTGGAACACCTGAAAATAGCATCACAGATGAAAGTGAGAATGCAGAAGTGAAGCCCACTTTACTTTGGAGTGCTCTATATATACAGGAAATGGCTACGGTTAGTTTTTATCTTTTGTCCCTTTCCTTTTCCTGCTGTTTGTTGATTTTTTGGGGTGCAATGTATTTGAGTCTTTTATTTGAGAATTGAAGGTTTTATTGAGCTGCCACAAGCATGTCAAGTCTTCTGGTTGCCTGTGCACTCTGGTCAATTAGCCCAGCAGGAAGTGGTTTTATTCTGATGGTTGTAACAATCCAAGATTACTCGAGTTCCAGAATGCTTTCTAGGGGACAGGCAGATCCTTGGGTATTTAGGAGTCTATGTTTTAGGTTAAGGAGTAATGAGGAGGGATTAACATGAAAATTGGATATAGAAAAGGCACAGGAATATATCTATTCAGTAGAACTCAATTAGTCTTAATCCCATTCTGTAGTCCCCTCCTCAAAAGTTTTTTGTACAATGAGAATTTCAATAATTTATTTTGGGGAGACAGTTGGATACCTTGTGAGGAGCAGGATATGGTAGGACAGTGAATGGGGATGGTTACGGAAACTGAATAGGAAAAGATATGATAGGGTGAGTTAAAGTTCACATGTGGTGCACATGGACCTTTCTATTATTACCATATTTTCTTACAATCTGAAATATTGAACTGATGAAAGTGAAGTTATGTATGTAAGTCCTTGGTTTGACATCTTTGAGCTTGAGAATGGCATTTTGATAGTTGCCTTTGTTGATTCCAGTGTTCATTTGATTCCATTTTCTCAACCCCTATGCCAGATGGGAATCTAAACTACAATGATCTTCTAGATGCAACTAAGAAGGTATTGTCTTTCCAGCTTTGCATAATTTTTGAGAAGGATTTTCTTTTTTCTTTTTGACCACACATGGTCTCTATCTCTGCTCAATCCCATGGAATTTGTTTTGCTGTTTTATATATATATATATATATATATATATAATTATGTGGGAAATTTATAATTGAGATTTGGTGCTTTTGCTGTGTGGCAGCTATTTCATATGATGTTTCCACATCATGAATTCTTTCCTGAGACAGCCTTCACTGATCCAGAAGATGATGGTGGGTTTGATCAGAGTCCTAGTGATGATTCACTGAACTCTTAGCAGTCTGACCGGGCGATCAAGTCAAATTGTTAGGTTTTGCTTATCCACACTGATTGGCTTGAGAATTTGGAGGTGCTTGAATCAGCAGTCCTTTGTGCATTGAGTGGACAAGATTGATGCATAGAAACAACAATTTTCATCTCTTGAACTGTCTTTTCTTTGAGCATTTGTCTTTCCAATTCAACACCATGAAGCAGAAATAGAAGGATTGAGCCAATGTCTTTTAGTTTAGTTGGATGTTACACTAGTGGCATGTACCATATGTGTCTTATTATCTTTATACACTCTGTGTGAAATATTTCGTTGACGAACAAATACATATTTTAGCATTATTCAAGTTGTACAGGTTAAGTCTACAAATGAACTTGAACATTGCCTTTTTGTAGGATCAGATTTTCCCTTTCTAATTGATCATTTGACCTGTTTGGTAGAGCTTTTCTTAACCTAAAATATGATAATCAGAAAACAAAAGTTAAAAGTATTCTTTTCTCAGCTTCTAAATAATCTTGTCTTTCTCAGCTTTTAAATAATCTTGTTTATTTTATTTTATTTTATTTTTTTTATAATTTTTTTTAGTTTATTTAAGTTATATTTACTAAACAGTTTGGCACAGACTCTCAAATTAAAATAAGTTGTAATCAATTTCTATAAGTTGCAACAAACAATCCCATTATTAGAACATCATCTCTCTTTGAAAATTGGGGCATGTCCCATTTTGTCTTTTCCATAACATTTTTGAGGTCCTTCGCCTACAAGAATGTTAAGGGGCTTCTAATTCCAACCCATTCTGCAATTAAGGGGCTTCTAAGTTGCAACTTCGTCTACATTATGCAATTATAGGACCCAAATAAGATTTAGGATAAATTACACAACTCCCTTGCTCGCTCCACGATTTTGAGTCCAAGCACGCAGTAAGAGATGTGTTCCGTCACCTCTTGTTGAAAAGCTTCGGCCATCACTTTTAATAGTTGACGATCACTTTTGATTGTCATTTTCTATCATAAATCATTGCTGACCACTATACTCGAAATCATTGTTGACCACTGTACTCGACGATCGATAATCTTCCTTCTAGCAACCTTGATAGTCACCGCACTTATTTTGAAGACAATTTTTTTAAACAGATGTATTTCTATGTATTTTTCTTTTGTTTTTATCAAAATAAGCATATATATGATTTTTTTCTTTATAAATAAAAATAATAAATTGTAAACGTTATCAAATATGACCTTATATTTCAAGTGAACAATGATTTATAAACAAAAATATTTTTAAAAAATGAAATAAAAATGTTTTAAACTTTATTTAAATGAAATATAAAATTTCAATTTTATTTGACATGGACTACTAAGTCAACTTATTGATTAAAAAAATTCATTCCACTAATTTTTTTTGAAGGCCTTTTGGCAAATTCATTTTTTCACTAAAAGTCCATTTTAATTACTCTTAAGAAGAATACGATTAAAAAGTTGAAAAAATATGCTTTTTTTTAAGCATTAATTTTATTTTATTTATCAGCTAGGCAATAAAATTTTATTTTTTATTTTTAAAAAAAAAGCAAACTATTATGCTTCAATACAAGAGTGGAAAATAGGATTTATACCAATTTTATGTTTTCTGTTCTGACTGACTATTTTCTTCTTTTCTGCAAATGAGTTGATGTTCTCCTCCACGGCTTCATTGCGAGGTCATTCCCTCAAAGCTCTCTTGGTTTGTTAATCCTTCAATTACTATAAAAATCACATTCTTCATTTGGCTTATCATTAATTTAGAACTCGATTTCATATTGGTTTATGAGGAGATTCGCTTGGCAACATTATTTTTTAGTTTAAAAGTTAAAAAGTCATTCAACAAATCAAAAAGCCATCAGCCTATACTAAAAATCGAAGATTCCCTTTTCTCTTTACTTTTTGAACATCTTTTCGTAAAAAATCAAAAAGTTATCACAAACATACTAGGTTTTTTTTTTTTTACATCATACTTTAGTCAAAAAACCAAAAAGATACTAAAAAAGCCTGTTCCCGAACGAGGCGGTCATTTTGATTTTGTTTTTTGCTTTGCAGAAGTGGAGAGTGGGTGCATGCATGCGTGCGTGCGTATGAAGAAATTGGGTCATACAAAATTGTCACATTGAGGAAATCTCTGACTCTGTATTTATGTGCTTGACAGTTGATCATCTCCTAATTTAGATCTCAATTTCTAGGTACCCACTTGGCACTTGCTAATTTTTGTTGTTTATTTACAATTATTTTTCTGATTTATGATAATATTTTTTTAGTCTCAAGGTACCCAATTTCTTTGTTTATATACCTAATATCTTAAAGATTCAAGATTAATTTTGTTATTTTGACTTTTTGGAGGGGGTGGAAAAGAAACTCAAACCCAAACCCAAACCCAAACCCGTGTTTGGGATCTGATTTGGCGGTGATCTGTTTTCCTTTAATATCCACCACTGTGATCTGTTTTCCCTACCTCAACCATAGCGATTTGCTTCCCCAAAGCCCTCACCAGTGGCCATAGATTCTCGTTGCTGAGAAGCTCCGACAGCCGTAACAGCTTCCCTTTCTTTTAATCGTTTCTTCCTTTAACGATTTCGACTCCGACAGCCCAATCTACTCAGGTATGTATTATGCATCTTGTGTTTTTTTTTTTTTTTTTTTTTTTTTTTTTAAGTTGTGGTTTGTGTAAAAGTTTAATCTTTTATAAAAATCAAGTTTTTTAGCCTTAATTCTGCTCTGCGTTAATGATGCTCAGTGTCCCCCTTTTTTTTCCTCTATTTTTTTTTTCTCTTCATTTTTGGCGCAGAGGTTGACTGCTATTTTGATGTCAAGGAGGAATTTTACGTAGAGGGAGCCACACATACACCATGCATGTTTTTGGTGAATGTTTGTGCACTGGTAATCAAGAAATGTCTTTTTATCTTGAAGAAGTTTAGGAATGATTTTTTTTTTTTCCCTTCCCTTTTATCACTTGATGCAAGTTCTTCCCAATTCCTAAGAAAAAAGAATGTATTGGCTGTATGGTTAGTTATTGACTTGTTGTTTCCTTGTTAAGTTAGATTATTATAGTTGGCTTGTGGATCGGTAGCTATTTCATTTGGTTTATTCATAGCTATTTTCTACATGCAGTGAGTCAGGTATAGAATTGTAATATATGTTCTGTTTGGCTGTTTTTTTTTCTTGTTTTTTGGAGCTTGCTCTTTTTAATCGGTTTAGTATGCCTTGTATTTCTACAGTTAATTGGCTATTTTATTTATGCTTTTTAAGTAGTTTTTCTTTTTCTTTTTTTTTCCCAACTATTTTTAATGTTCTTGGGAAAATTGATTGATAATTGAGTATCTAAAAATTAGTACAAACTCAGATAATCATACTAACTGAATTTTTGGCCAACTTCTGATTTTTGTGAGCAATCATAAAATCAAATTGAAAGATGAGAGAATGTAACACACACTACTAGAAGAAGGCTTCAGCAAATTGACTTGCAAGTGTTTTGAAACCAAAAAAGTCTGAAGGACAATATTTTCAAGGATTTGGTGAAGTCTTCTCCACAGGAAGTGGTATTAAAGTTGTATTCAAGGAGGACACCTTTTACAGATGGACCCACTGCTTTCATACCTGACGAATGCTTAAAGGATGAGATCTTAGAATGAGAATTTTGTAGTGGCACAGAGCTGTTTGGAAGGTAATTCCTTTAGCAATTTTATGGTCAATTGGGTTTGCTAGAAATCAATTAGTTTTTGAAAGAATTCAACCCTGTTGGGATTCCATTACTGAAGCGATTAAGTTGAGAGTACTATGTTAATCCAAGGCCAATAATATTTTCAAGGATTATACGGTGAATGACTTTGTACTCAATTTTCAGCAAATCCGATTGAGCAAATAGAGGTTCACGCATGCTCTGTTTTTGCAAATAGACGGTTGGTTTTGTGAGCGTTTTTTCGATTTTTTAGCTATAGGTTGTAAATTCTTGTTAGGAGTAGTAACGATACGGGTTGATCAACTTCTGTTCATGTTTCGAGGGTTGTTTTCAGTTTTTGGTGGTTGAGCAAATCAGAATGGGTGGGTGGTGGGTGGTGGGTGGCAGCTTCCTCCTTTGGATTGATGACTTCTTTTACTTGGTTGGTTGTTGTTGGCCTTGGTGAGTTTTGTTGGCTGGATTGTTTAGACTTATTTAGATGGTGTTTGTTTTGCTGGTTTATTTTGTTTGGTAGTCGTTGGTCGGTGCCTTGCTAACCTTCTTGGGATTTTTTTATTTTTATGTCTAGATGTGCACATGATTTGCTAGCTTTGTATATGACAACTTAGTTTGGATATTTGTCGGCAATGAAGCATTTTGTCATCTTGACTTATTGATCTAAAAGTATTTATTTCCGTTTCAATTTTTCATTATCCCAAAATATTAGTTCCTCTACAAAAATTAAGTACAAAAATAATATAAATTTTCTATTTTGCTCTTCTTTTAAATTAATAAACAATATAAAAAGTACAATTATGACATTGATATTCTCAAAAAATGTACTATCAAAAGGGTAATTTTGGAAAATTAATTTTTTTCAAATGCAATAATTGTACTATCAAAATAAGTTAGATTTTCCAAAAGGAATCATTGATCTACTTATTATACAAATTATAAATATTAAAAAAAATTTAAAATTATATCACATTATTTATTAATATACTAATTAATATGTTAATTAATGTATATATCATTATTCAATCAAATAAGTTCACAAGCTTTAAGAATAAGATAGCATTTATTGCGGAAGAAGAATCACAACTCCACTTTGCACCTACTGCAAGCCCAGCTGCTTTACACCACCAACACCACCTCGATAAATCTTTCACGGAGTAATTTTTTTTCATATCATATTTTATTAGAAAATTACAAAAATTACTATAAAAAAAAAAAAAAAAACAACTTTCCAAAGAGGCTGAGCATGATTTCAAAAGTGAGAGTTAATTAGTGTGTTTGGTTTGAATTTTCTAAATTGATTTTTTTTAAAATTGAGTTTTTTGGTTTTTGTGTTTTTTTGTTTTTAGTGAATATTTTTAAAATTTTAAACATTTTTTAAACTTTTTTAGATGTACTTTACTTAGATGTATCTAAAAAATAAAAAATTTGTGACACCACAATAAATACATTTAAAATTACAGCAATGATTGAGGGCCACAATTTTTGTGGCTCAAATGGCTCGAAATTGTTAAAACGACGTTGTTTTGAGTACAAAACAACTTTAAAATTGCCAAAACGACGTCGTTTTGACAATTTTGAGCCATTTGAGGCACAAAAATTGTGGCTCTCAAACATTTTCCTTAAAATTATGTATCAATGACAAATTTTTTT